GCACGTCTGTTTAGGCAGACTGTTTTTGCTGTGAGTAACAGAATGAAGGCAGGGAACTCTTCAATCTGGGACATACCCTGATCAGAAGGGAGTGAGACACAGGTCTCCCTCCCAAGAGAGGCAACAGTGGGGGAGCTGGAAGCCGAAGATTGGGTGTCCTTGCTGGACCACTGAGGGGAAATACAGGTAAAGTTGCCCTGAACTGTGACCTATCTGGAGCTCTAAATTTGGATGGTTAGTGAGAAGAAAGGCCACTGCTCAGCCAGTTCATCCTGGTGCCCACCTACTACTACTTCTAATTCATCCTGAGGACCTTTTATGAACGCTTCACAGTCCCTTTAGCAGTGCTTCTTAGCTTAATTTCCAGCTGGCACTCCCCCTCTCTCCCAGCATATTGGAACTCCAATCACTTACATCTGTCCCTGTAATGAGTCCCTAGTCCCACCCTGAACACATCACCCTGCTCTGTGGCAGGGAACATTACAAATGTGTCTCTGGAATGTCAGAGCAGTTCACAGTCTATTCCTTGTAGGTCCCAGGCCTCCTTCTCAGGCCCTGGCTGTGCTGCAGAGATGCTGCGGGTTGGACACTTGCTCTGGTGGAGGCCACACACCTCCAGGCTTTGGGTGGTGGGACCCTTCTTCCCAGCATCAGTCCCCTGTCGGGTTAAGATCCCCCTCCCAGTCTGGCCTGCAAGGACCCTTGGCTGGGAGCATAGGCAGCGAGTTATATTCCCACGTGGTGCATGGGCAGCAGCAATATTCGGAGCCCAGCTCTGCCTTCCCGGGGCCCCAAGAAGAGAGTCACTGTCTCTCTTCCGTGGAGCTCCATGCTGCCTCCCTGCAGCAACTGCTGCCGCAGGGTCCTAGTGCCCCCCCATCTCGACTGCCAGGGCAGAGTAACTGAGCCTGCCCTTCCACCTCAGACCCTTCCCTTTTCCGGTAGGACCCTCCAGCAGTAGAGGCCCCCGCCCACCCGCAGTCACTGCTTCTGCCCCATGCTGGGCAAGGAGGCAGCCCCATCCCTCACCCCCAGTGAGGCTACAGTCAGGGACAACAGCAGGGGAGGAGGTGCAGGCAGCACCCCCCAGCACCCACCACAGTGGAGGCGAGGGAGATTCCTGGACCTGAGAGGGGCCCTAAGAGCACATGCAGTGACAGTGGTGGGGGTGAGTGTGCTGCTGGGGGGGGGGCAGGAAAGGGGGGCTCCTCCCCCAGAGCTTGCTCCTGCCGGCAGGGAAAGGGCTGAGGGGAGTCCTCCTCTCTGGCCCTTGTCCCGGAGCAGCCTGCCTGCACCCCAAACTCATCCCCAGCCCTGCCCCACCCCAGAGCCCACACCCCCAGCCAGAGCTTTCACCCCCCCACCGCACCCTCAACCCTCTCTCCTAGCCCTGAGCCCCTCCAAGACCCCAAACACCTTATCCCCAGTCCCAGCCAGAGCCCTCATCCCTCTTCACTCCAAACCTCCACCCGAGACCCTCCAACACCACAAACCCCTCATCTCCAGCACCAGCCAAAGCCCTCATGCCCCTGCACTCCAACCCTCTGCCCCAGCCCTGAGCCTCTCTAACACCCCAAACCCCCCATTCCCAGACAGAGCCCTCACCCCCACACTCCTACTCTTGCCCTGAGCCCCTCCCATACCCCAAACCTCTCATTCCAGCCCCAGACAGAGCCCTCACCCCCTACACCCCTACTCTCGCCCTGAGCCCCTCCCACACCCCAAACCCCTCATCGGCAGCCACACCTCACAGCCCTCACCCCTGCACCCCCTCCCATCCCCAAATTCCCATTCAGAGTCTGCATCCTGCACCCCAATCCCCTGCCCCAGCCTAGGGCCTGCACCCCAGACCTCCTCCCCCAACCAAACTCCCTCCCAGAGCCTTGGGCAGGTGGGGAGCGTTTGGGGGAGCAGAGTTTGGGCAGGGACAGGTTCTGGGCACCACCAAAATTTCTACAAACCCGCCACCCCTGGCTGGAGGTGTCTTTCTGCAGTGGACCCTTTGCCCAGGGTACCCCCTTGGCTGGCCCCATTTGCTCACCACACCTGGCTCCAGCTCCACTCTACCTCAGCAATGATGCTGCTTCTCTGCCTCCAGCCCCCAGGTTGCTTCTCTGGCCCTGTGGCTGCAGCTCTGCTCCCAGCACAGGATCTGCTCTCCTTGGGCTGTGTCTCTGGCTCTAGCTCTGCTCCCCAGCTCAGCTTGGGCCCCTGCTCTCTCCTTAACTGGGCCCCACTCTGTCTGACCCAGGCAATTCCAGCTCACACGGAGGACAGGACCCACCCTGGCCTCCTGACTCCCTGATAAACCTGCCCACCCTCTCAATCAGGCTGACCTGGAGCATTGGCCTCTCGCCATTGTTCCTGGGGACTGTCAGTCTCAGGGTCCTGATTTCCCATTGACTCTTCCCCTTTCTTTCGGTTCTGGGAGCTAGCCAACCAAAACACCCCCGCTGAGTGTTAGTAAGGGGGCAACAGTCCCCTTATATATAGACTCCGATTACACCCCCCACTCCCTGTCCCATTTGTTCACAGTTGCTATCTGGTCGCCCTTTGGAACCGCCTCATGTCCAGCTTTACAATCCTCCCCTCCCCACCCAGTTCCTCTGTGTGAGCGCCCAGCCCGCCTCCCCAGCTTCTTCAGCGCGGAGGAGGGAACGGACCAGAGCTGGAGGTAGGCGCCGCTACGCCATCGCGCCCCGGTGCCCGCTCCCGGGGAACGCTGGGTGGCCGCACAGGCGTAAGCGCCGCCGGAGAGTGGGGGAAGGGAGTTCAGCGGGACGGCGGCCGGGGGCAGGTGCCGGGGAGCTGCGTCAGCAGCGGAGCGCGAGGGGGGAGCTGGCAGCGCGGTGAGTGGGGCCGCGGCTCTGCCCGTCCTGCGGGCGCTGCAGGGGGAGCGAGGCGCCTCTCCGGGGTCCCGGCGCGTGGGTGTCCTGGGGCCCGCGCCGCTTTGCCTCTAGCGGTGGCCGGCGCCTTAGCTCGCGTCTCTCCCCTCGGCTGCTAGGCTGTGCTGACGGGAGGGCGCTGGCCCAAGCAGGGAGAAGAGGCTGCGGCTGCAGAAAGGAAACCGGCCCAGCGCTGCCCGGAGTGCGGGGCACCCGCCGGGGAGAGATCTTGACGACGAGTCGCCTTTTAATGCAGATTAGTGGCCCTGAGTTGTGTGTCTAGACGGGCTGAGAACTTGCTGCCCCCCGCCCCCCGGTGTTTGTGAAGAGTTGCCCCTGGGGGGGGGGAGAGTGGAGGGACCCCAATCTCGAGTTCTAACCGTGGGCTCTTTGTTGAGGGGTTATCCGGGGTTTCTTGCACTGTAGAGCTAGAGGTATTGGTCTGGCAAAACAAGCCTTGAGGTTGGCAGCTTGGTTGTGTTTTGGAAAGGGAGGGGCAAGGTGGGGGATGAGAAGCTGGTAAGGGCTCAGTGGAAGAGGATTCTGGTGGCTACATTCTAACTACTTGATACCAGTAAATGTAGGAGATCTTCTTCTCTATAGTCTTATCACCCCTGGAGAAATTGCCAGTTCTCCGCACCTGTCTAACCCCAGCAATGCTTGGACAGTGCCTCACAGCTGGGCAGAAAATCTCCCAGCAATTGCATGCATGCAATGTCAGAATTGCATTTAGGAGGTATAAAGACCTGTTGTGTCTGAACCATTTAAGTGTCAGGCAGAATGTGAACTAGCTCACCTGGTTCCAGTCGTCCTCTCTACCGTCGCCCAAGACCGCATTGGCCTTCCAAAATATGTCAAAATCCACTTTTCCTGGGACTAATGCTAGGAGTTGTGGAATAGGTACAATGCAGTTGATAGGATTCAGGAAGAAGCACTAGTGTTCTACAAGTGGGGCAAAAGGTGCTGTGCTTTTTAACCAATATTGGCATAGCCACCTTGGATGCAGTTGAACTAGTTTATACTTAATCTATTTCTGTCCAGCTGGTTCAGCTTCCACTTCTCTGATTCTCTGGTGTATACATAATCTAATTAACTAGCTGGGACCCACCTAAAATTTAGTGTTCACAGCTCTTATGTGCTGATGCTATGTGTATTTGGGGAGCTAAATGATGAACAAGGTGAGGGATGAAAGGTTTTCAAAGGTGGCAAACGTATGAAGCTTGCGGTTAATGCCAACATTTCCTCCAGCACAAATGTTTGTTGTAGGTATGAGATACCTATTTTAAACTGCTAAATTAGTCTAATGAACACCAAAAAGCCTATGTGACTACGGTAGAAATCACTCTTCTTAGGTTTTAAAAAACATAAAAACACCACCCTACTATCTTTCTACCACACTATAAAAGCAAAGATCATCCATCTGATTCTTGGAGAATTGAAAGTTATGCTTATCAAAGGTTTTGTGTAAAAAATACAATGTGTGTTCAAAGCAACAAAGAGTCCTGTGGCACCTTAAAAACTAACAGATGTATTGGAGCATAAGCTTTCGTGGGTGAATATCCACTTCATCAGACGCATGTAATGGAAATTTCCAGAGACAGGTATAAATATGCAGGCAAGAATCAGTTTGGAGATAACGAGGTTAGTTCAATCAGGGAGGGTGAGGCCCTCTTCTAGAAGTTGAGATGTGAACACCAAGGGAGGAGAAACTACTTTTGTAGTTGGCTAGCCATTCACAGTCTTTGTTTAATCCTGATCTGATGGTGTCAAATTTGCAAATGAACTGAAGCTCAGCAGTTTCTCTTTGAAGTCTGGTCCTGAAGTTTTTTTGCTATAAGATGGCTACCTTTACATCTGTTATTGTGTGGCCAGGGAGGTTGAAGTGTTCTCCTACAGGTTTTTGTATATTGCCATTCCTAATATCTGACTTGTGTCCATTTATCCTTTTACGTAGTGACTGTCCAGTTTGGCTGATGTACATAGCAGAGGGGCATTGCTGGCATATGATGGTGTATATAACATTGGTGGATGTGCAGGTGAATGAGCCGGTGATGTTGTAGCTGAGCTGGTTAGGTCCTGTGATGGTGTCGCTGGTGTAGATATGTGGGCAGAGTTGGCATCGAGATTTGTTGCATGGATTGGTTCCTGAGTAAGAGTTGTTATGGTGCGGTCACCACACGCCGCACCAATTTGAGAGCATCAACTTGCTAAATTTCACTGAACTTTTCTCAAAGAATCCAGAATCCGAGTAGTTTTATCAGTCACTATTTGTATACCACTGCTGTCTGTATACATAGCAGTGTACAATAAATGAAGTGCTTTAATTTTTGGGGGTGGAGAGAGGGGTTCATGTAGGACTCTGGAAACCTTTGTCTTTTTGGTACACCAACATCATGGTCCAATTTCTCAAAGGAACCTCTACCCAGCTTCTAATGTACATGCAGTCTTGAACTAAAATAAATTATATGCAGTTTGCAACACAAATGAGGAGTGTCCTAAATTTAAAAACTTAGTCTCAGTGCTGAAAGTTGATCTCTGAGCCCAGTACACTGAACCTTCACCCGAGGAAGGTAAAATATTGATTCTTAAGGCTACATTTGCAGAGCTAGATTTCAACATCCTGCTGTGATTAAAATCATATTCCATATGTTCATGGAAGGTGAAATAAAGTTGTAATCCCACAAAGACTTAAGCATATGCTTAACTGCATTGAGTACAGTGCATAAAGTTAAGCACACCTGAGACTTTGTGGAGTTGGGGCGCAAGTCAGACACTAGTATTTCTACTGCATGTTTGGTTAACACAAAGTAGACCTTTTAATTTTAAGGAAGGGTTTGGTTTGGATATACATTGTAAGGGATACAAACAGTTTTTACATTGTAGCTCACCTGCAAAAAGCCAGCAGAGATGATAAAGTTATTGTCATGTGAACCACGTAAGTATCTCATTTTTCTCAAGTGTTTTGGTGAGTTTATAAAAATAGGTTGTTTTCTGAAGTCCTCTATGCTAACAGTTTGCAAGTAGAGCAAGCGTTATGCTTTAGCCCTGGATACAGTACCTCGACAAGAAGGAACTATCTATTCCATGGATCGGCAACTTTTGGCACGCGGCCCACCAGGGTAAGCACCTTGGTGGGCTGGGCGGTTTGTTTACCTGCCGCGTCCGAAGGTTCGGCCGATCGCGGCTCCCACTGGCCGCAGTTCACTGCTCCAGGCCAATCGGGTGGCGGGAAGCGGCGCGGGCCGAGGGATGTGTTGGCTGCCGCTTCCCGCCGCCTCCATTGGCCTGGAGCGGCGAACTGCGGCCAGTGGGAGCCACGATCGGCCGAACCTGTGGGCACGGCAGGTAAACAAACCGGCCCGGCCTACCAGGGTGCTTACCCTGGCAGGCCGCCTGCCAAAGGTTGCCGATCCCTGACCTATTCAATGCAGAAGCCTGTCTTCCAGGAATGTTTTCTCCATGGTTGATTTAAAAAAGAGGATGTGAGCTATTAATTGTTGGCCCAGCTATAATTCCATTTTGGAATTGTCACACTACATCTAAGACACACTAGTATAAAGATACACACTAGTAGAAATGTAAATAGAAAATAAATATGCAAATGCCTATTAAGATGTCTTGCATAAAATAAATAGTATTACAGTGCTAATCAATGAAAAGTATGCATATGTAAATGAAGTGATTAGGGGAATTGTGAATACCTGCTTATCGGGCCCTATCACTAGGGCCCTACCAATTTCATGGGCATGAAAAACATGTCACGGACCACGAAATAAGTCCCTCCCCGTGAAATCTGAACACCCCCATGCTGCTGAGAGCGCCCCAGATGGGGACTCCTAGCTGCAAGTCCTGCCCATGCTGTGGAGGGACAGGATTTGTCCTTCCCCTGCATGGCCACCTCTCCAGGCTGCAGATAGCTCTGCACCCCCTCTCCCTCACTCGCTTCCTGTCCCCATTGCTTCACAGTCGCGGGAGGGGTCATTGTCCAGGGAACTGCCCTGCCCCCCCTTCCAGATGCACTTATTAGCTTGTTTCAATCAAAACAAAAAGAAAGATGAAGAACTTGACAGAATTTTTTGATTGACACTTTACAGCAGCGCATCACACTCATGGCTCAACTCACAGATTGGTTGATATGGACATTGGGATGTTTTTGTAGTGCAGTGATCTCTCTTGGCAGCCTACCAGAAGACAACTGAAATTACAAGTGTAAAATGAGTGTCCAAAGTAAATGAAAAACCTCTGAAATCATTAGTGCAGAGGATCGTGTGAAAGAATTTGGAAGCCAAATTCTACATGCCAGTGGTGACAAACTATTTTGTCGAAGTTGCAATGTTTCGTTGGATTACGCACATTGAGCAAGGGTTCAGCGCCACATAGACTCGGAAACCTATTGAAGCAGAAAGAGGATAGTGCATGGCTGATAAACAAAAATTTACAAATACAAAAAACAACTTCATCGCTTTTTAAGCAGATGACAGCTCTGAGACCCATCATTTAGCTAGAATGGAATTTGTGGATGCATTTGAATGTGCTAATATACCATTGAAAAAACTTGATCACCAAAAGCTGCGTGAGTTAATTCAGTGGAATGTACAAAATGTAGGTTGCTTACCAACTACGAATAAGCTACAACAGGACTACCTTTCACAGGTTTTTGCTACACATTTTGAGGAGATGAAGTCTCAAATTAACTCATGTCAGTCTTTTGGAGTTATTTTGGATGAGTCCATAGGTGAGCAAGACAACTATGTACTGCATGTTCTGTTTGATTTTATTTCTGGCAAGGCCAAGGATGTACAGACAGGAAAGTTAAGAACAGAGCTCACCGATTGCGTTTACTTGGCTGCTGTTAACTACACTACAGTTTCTCAAGTGATAATAGAAATACTTTGTCAAAGTTTGCACAATATTTTGAAATTATCTGCTTTCATAAGCCACAATGCAATTTACATAGAATATCAGGGTTGGAAGGGACTCAGGAGGTCATCTAGTCCAACCCCCTACTCAAAGCAGGACCAATCCCCAACTAAATCATCCCAGCCAGGGCTTTGTCAAGCCTGACCTTAAAAACCTCTACGGAAGGAGATTCCACCACCTCCCTAGGTAACCCATTCCAGTGCTTCACCACCCTCCTAGTGAAAAAGTTTTTCCTAATATCCAACCTCAACCGCCGCCACTGCAACTTGAGACCATTACTCCTTGTTCTGTCATCTGGTACCACTGAGAACAGTCTAGAGCAGTGGTTCCCAAACTTGTTCCGCTGCTTGTGCAGGGAAAGCACCTGGCGGGCCGGGCCAGTTTGTTTACCTGCCACGTCCATAGGTTCGGCCAATCGCAACTACCAGCGGCCACGGTTTGCTGCTCCAGGCCAATGGGAGCTGCTGGAAGCGGCGGCCAGTAAGTCCCTCGGCCCGCGTGGAGGAGTTTGACTAGATGACCTGTTGATATCCCTTGATATCCCTTCCAGTCCTACATTTCTGTGATTCACACTGAATTGTCTTGTGCCACTGTCTAGTAGTAGTGGCACACAGTTCTCTGACATGCAGGTTTATAAAATTGTAGTTAATATTCAGTTTAGAGCATAGCAGTTTTAAAGCTCTGCATGTTCCGACCAACTGAGCTGAAAATTGTGATCTACAGTATTCAAAACTATTAAGATGTGGGCTGAAATAAAATCAGCATGAATTGCTCAACAATATCAATGGAATCAGCATTGCGCTGCTATATATTGTAAAACATTACATTGAAATCTTTTACATAGCATGCCGCCTTGCCCAAGTGGTAACTAAGCATAACATCTTCCTGTTTCAACATTCTTAACTTATATCCCATAGCTCCTAGAAGTTGTTGTTGTTTTTTTCGAACACTGAATGCTGCTAAGTTATGAGTTTTAACAGGTTTTTTTTCTTTTAAACCACAGCACTAGATGTTATTCTAAAATTGTTTTCCAAATATTCTTAAACTCCCAGTTTATCCCCCGCTGATGTTCATTGTGAAAAGTATTGCAGGACTAATAATAATATTTGGCACTTTTGTAATTCACTGTCCAACATGTGTTTTGTGCCCTCCTCTGGTAGCTTTTTAGAGGATAACTGTATAGCTACCAGCTAAGGGAGTTATATCTTGAACTCAAGTAGTAGAAGCTCATGCTTTTAAGTCTGGATGGCTCAGGTTCAATCTTTGGTGACTAGCTATGATGGAGGTTGCTACACTTATAATCCCTTTAATCAGAGGTTCTGAATATGCTTTGTTGTAGGCAGAGCTAGCCTATAGTTAAGCAACCGAAAATTTAGAATCGGAAGTGTTGAAATGTTGGGAAGCCTTATAATTTTGCCAGTCTGGAACGAACATCCCATCTGAGGGATGGGGGCGGGGAGAGAGGAGAGTGAGACAGGACCAGGAAACTGGGACAAGGAATCCAGAGCAGTAGTGAGGGTAGTTGAAATCAGATGACGAGCTGGGGCGGGTTAGACAGCAATAGGATAGACATAGACTGGAGGGGACGGGGATGAAGGGTCTTTGACTACTAGAGACCACGCCGTTCAGGAGCCTGGAATAGACCCAGGATTCCTGAGTTTCACAGTTCCTCTTCTGTCAGCAGATATCTGTGAAACCCAGTGGCAAAAAAAGTGTCTCATCCCCCTATAAAGCTGATCCATCACATATAGGATGACAAACTACTGCCTCTGCCATCACTTACTCCATTAGCTCAAGTGGAAGAAGTCTGTGCAGTGGATCTATAGGTTCATCAGCAGGGTTGGAGCCATGCGAGTTTCACGATGATTCCACATGACAGAATTTCTGGGGCAGTTCAGTTTTGATTTTTACAAAAAAACCTGGGGAAATGCATACAGAAATAGGGTGACCAGATGCCTAAATATGGGAATCTCAAACAGGCATAGAGAGGTTACTTTATCTCTGTATTTGGCACTGGTGCAACCACTGCTGGAATACTGTGTCCAGTTCTGGTGTGCACAATTTAAGAAGGATATTGATAAATTGGAGAGTGTTCAGAGAAGAGTCACAAGACTGATTAAAGGATTATAAAACATGCCTTATAGTGATCGACTCAAGGACCTCAATCTATTTAGCTTAACAAAAAGAAGGTTAAGTGAATTGGTTATAGACTGTAAGTATCTACATGGGGAACAAATAGTTAATAATGGGCACTTCAGTCTAGCAGAGAAAGGTAGAGCATGAGCCAACGGTTGGAAGTTGCAGCTAGACAAATTCAGACTGGATATAAGGCATACCTTTTCAATGGTGAGAGTAATTAACGATTAACAATATACTAAGGGTCATGGTGTTTTTCTAAAAGCTTTTTCTAAAAGCTATCCTCTAGGAATTATTTTGGGAAAGTTCTATGTCTGTGCTATACAGGCGGTGAGACCAGGTGATCACCGGATCCCTTCTGGCTTTATAATCTCAGAACTAGGTACATCAATTCACATGCAAAATTCTCATTGAATTCAATAGGTGTCCTTGCCCTGTGGCTTGTGGTGCGGGCTGCAGCAGGGGCCGTACAACCCCTCTCGCAGCTCCCTAGGGCCCCCTCTCATGGGTCTGTGCACCTGTGTCTGTCGTTGTCATCCTCTCCCCCCCCCCCCCCCGCTCCCCCAATGTGTCCCGATAGTTCACTCTTGCGATCTGGTCACCCTACACCAAACGTACAACAAAGTAATGGATGTACTATTCTGGACTGAAGCACAGTCAAGCGAAAATCACTCTGACAATGCTGAATTAAATGCCCGTGCTCAGCAGGCGTTTTCTTGCATGGCAAAGAAGCTCAGACAATACTACTGCTACAGGGAAGAGTCAAGCGATGCAGGAAAAATGGCTCAAAAGTTTCAACAACCTGCAGCGGGGTTCCTAAAAGCTGTGCGTATATGCGAATCTGCACAAATGCACCTGTTGATGGATTTAACCTTGCTTAATGCAATTCCTGGCTTTGACAAGAATTCTAGGCTAGAGATTCCTGCTTACAAAAATATTACGAAAGAAGTGGACTGTAGTTTGCCTGTGCTACAGTTTTGGAACTCAGTGGAAGGCAGAATCTCCCACCTTGCAAGGTTAGCTTGGCACTGACAATTCCAGTGAACTCTGTGGATGCACAGAGAAACATGTCTAAACATGGACAGTGTTTCAGCGCAGAGACAGGGAGTGAAGAAAGACACAGTTGCTGGATGGTCCATGCGGACATATTTTTTCACTTGCTAGTGTTGTTTGCTGCTGTAAAGAGTCAATAAATCCTGTCAAATTCACATGACTGAAACAAGCTAATAATTGCATCTGGAAGGACGGGGAGCGCACACTGTACTGTGACTTCCCCCCCGCAGCTGAAGATCTCTCGGGGCAGGAAGTGGGTGGGGCGGTGTGGAACTTTCTGTAGCCAGGAGAGGTAGCAAGAGCAGCCGTGCAGAGGAAAAGGAAGTCCTGTCCCTCCCCAGCCCGGTCGGGACTAGCAGCCCCTTGCTGGGGCACTCCCAGCAGGATGGGTGAGATCAGACCCACCTCCACCTCCGGGAAACTTCTGCGGCTGCTGCCTTCAGAGCCCAGCTTCAAAGGCTGCCATCCTCACTTCTGTGCTATCCCACAACCCCCCTACAAGAGGTTTGCAACCCCCACCTGCCCTGTGTTGGGTTGGGACACCCACAGTTACAACACTATGAAATTTCAGATTTAAATATCTGAAAACATGAAATTTGCCAATTTTCAAGTCCTATGGCCATTAGATTGACCAGAATGGATAATGAATTTGGTAGGGCCCTACCTATTATTCTTGAATAGTTTCCACAGTTGTATGTATTCATAGAAGGGCTATATTTAGCAATATTTTTTTTCAATTCTAAAATATTTGAAGTTTCACTGTTGCTGTTTTGTTCTAAATGGTAAATATTCATCATTAGCAGGTGTTTGAAAAATCTTCTCCAAGATGAACTTCTTCCTGGAAACACTCAAAGTCCTGGTGCTCTCAATATATTTCCTGTTAGAATCTCTAGTGTTGTTGTTTGTTCCTGTGCGAAAGAAGAGTGTTGCTGGTGAAATAGTACTTATAACAGGAGCCGGAAGTGGAATTGGAAGACTTCTAGCATTAAAATTTGCCCGCCTTGGAGTCACCCTTGTTCTCTGGGACATTAATCAAGAAGGTAACAAGGAAACAAGTAAACTAGCTAGAGAAAATGGAGCCGTGAGAGTGCATGCTTACTTGTGTGACTGCAGCAAAAGGCAAGAGATCTACAGAGTGGCAGATCAGGTAAAATATTACATGTTCATGTTTCTTTTTTTATCCCATAAAATACTGTCTGATCATAAAGCACTGATCTCTTACCTAGATGTCGTTGAACAGAGTTCATGAGTCCAGAGTTCATGTCACTCATTCCATATTAATCCAGTGCTGTGTACATTACCTATCTTCACACACTTCATGTTAAGACACCGTAAAGATTACATGATTATGCATTTAAGAATTCAGGTAATGCCTGAAATCCCCTTGGGACTGCCACCTGATGTGCTGGGACTACTCTGAGCCCGTTTTCCCTTCCAGCTTGGGACTTCAGTACCTTGCCTGGTTGTGCCAGACACACTAGCCTGCTACAAACACAGACCCAGGTCTGAACCACATCCCGCAAAAGCTGCAGGCTTAACTGAAAACAGCTTAAGAAGTGCTCCTGTCTCCAATACCCAGTTCCCAGTGGGATCCAAACCCTAAATAAATCAGTTTTACACTGTATAAAGCTTATAGAGGGTAAACTCATAAATTGTTTGCCCTCTATAACACTGATAGAGAGAGATGCACAGCTGTTTGCTCCCCCAGGAATGAATACTTGTTCTGGGTTAATTAATAAGTAAAAAGTGATTTTATTAAATATAAAAAGTAGGATTTAAGTGGTTCCAAGTAATGACAGACAGAACAAAGTAAATTACCAAGCAAAATAAAACAAAAACACGCAAGTCTAAGCCTAATACAGTAAGAAACTAAATGCAGGTAAACCTCAACCTCAGAAATGTTCCAATAAGCTTCTTTTACGGACTAGACTTCCTCCTAGTCTGGGTCCAGCAATCATTCACACCCCTGTAATTACTGTCCTTTGTTCCAACTTCTTTCAGGCATCTCTTTGGGGTGGAGAGGCTATCTCTTGAGCCAGCTGAAGACAAAATGGAGAGGTTTCCAGGGGCTTATATAGTCTCTCTCTTGTGGTTGGAAACCCCTCTCTCCACCTGTGTAGAATCATAGCTACAAGGTGGAGTTTTGGAGTCACATGGGCAAGTCACATGTCCATGCATGACTCAGTTCTCTACAGGCCGACGCCATTGCCCACATGTTAGCCGGAACGTTCCCAGGAAAGTTCAGATGTGGATTGGCGTCTATCAAGGCCCATTGTTAGTCAATTACTTGAATAACCCCTTCACACTATGTTGACCAAATCTGCCTTAGGTGCTCTCTACAGCAAACACTCTAAATACAAGCATAGAGCCAACACTCATAACTTCAGATATAAAAATGATACATTCATATGAATAAGATGAATACATTCAGTAGAGCATAACCTTTGCAGAGATATGTTACATGGCATATGTAGCATAAAACATATTCCAGTTATGTCATATTTACACTCATAAGCATATTTCTATAAAGCATTCTGGGGTCCAATAAAGCCAGGCTTCCTAAGCCAGCATACTTTACTTTTCTCCTCTGAGATGGTAAACAAGGTAACTGCCACAGTTAGGCTACTACACAGCTCTTTCTAAGCAAGCATATTTATTCTTAAGCATTTCAGAGAAAACATATTCAAAACAATAAAAGAAGATGCATGCATGCCAGTAAACTTACCCAGAAATCACTCCTGACTCCAACAAGGGCTCTGGCTGGTGACCAGTCCTTCAAACCCCACCTCTGTGGCAATCAGTTCATCACTCCTTTTGCTCAGAAGGAGAACCCCCCAAGAGTGTCATTTACTCCTTTTTGTTAGTGGTGTTTTTTTTTTTGTTTCGTTTTTTTTAAACTGTCTTCATGTAACAGGTGATCAGGGCCCTCAGGAAGAATCTTCAAAGGCTGAGTACAGAGGTGGGAATTTGCAACCTTCTTCTCCGAAGTACTGCCTAAGAATTCCACTTCTCACACATTGTCACAAAAGATCATTTGTCCCCTACATTGTTCAAGGCAGTCTTTTGAAGCTCACAGTAGTTCCCAAAGATTGCATTAATCCTGTCTTCCTCCTAAAGAAATTCTATACAATCCCACAATAATACATAAACATTTGCATTTTTTAATACAGTGAACTCCTAAAATACTTAAACTTAGGCCTTGTCTACAGTACAAAGTTTTGTAGAACAGGAGCGTTCCACCTTAACGATTTGCTCTTTGTTCCCAGAATGGAGCAACACACTCAGCTGTCAGATACTTCCTGGAGCTTTGAAAGGGGAGGGGTGCATGCCTGCAGGGCAGCAGAGATCAAAACAGTGAGCAGAGCGGTCACATTAGGCATTATGGGATACTGGGGGAAGCCAGTTATGTCGACATAATGTACAGCAGTGTCTACACTGACGCTTTGTCGCTTTAACTTTTCAGCAAAAAGCTCTGTGCCTCTCGTTGAGGTGGTTTTATTTTGTCGGCAAAATATCAGAGTTTTGCCCCCAAAAGTAGCTTTGTAGTGCGTATGCCTCCCCTGTTTTGTCGGCAAAAGGCAGCTTTTGCCGACAAAACTTAGTAGTGTAGACAAGGCCTTAAGTCAGTAAAGATTTGACCAGGATATTGCAGGAAACTGCCATAACTATCACATTACTTTTCAAAAATGTTAGTTACACAAAAATCTTTAGAAGACCAAGAAAATCTTGCGATCTTTGGAGAAGCCACAGAGGGTTCTCCTATCTCCTACAAAATCCTCAAAAAGTTTGTTGGGGAAGCCTTATGCCCCACCATCTGCAAGCCATAAAGGTATGTCTACACAACAACAAAGTAGCTGGCCCATGCCAGCCAACTCAGGCTCGGGCTGCAGGGCTGTTTCATTGCTGTATAGACTTCCGGACATGGGCAGCCCAAATCTGTTGTCACGGGTCAGCTACAGGTTTTTCTTTGCTGTGTAGACATACCCTAAGAGGCTTATCAGGGCCTAACTGTCTCTGGGGAGGTTGAATATATCTGTTTGTGAGCTCATAACACCTTAATTGAAGGTATTAGAAATATGACAAAGGTTTCCTTTATTCAAAATATTCAAATTTTGTTTAACTTCTGTGAAGTCTGACTAAAAGCTTCCCCTCTTCCAAACTCATTGGCTTTTTGTGATGACCATTTACGCTAGCTCTCATGGCATCATGTTTTTTCTGCCATCTTTATGGTATATAAAGTGTGGGTGGCTTTTTATTAAATAAAGCCCAATATTTCCCCTTAGCAGGTTACATTTAAATTACAGACCTGTAAAGTTGTTGTCTGCAGAGTTCTAACACGTGACTAAAGGGAAAAGTTGCAGAGTGAACAGACTTCAGTCTTATGAACTGCTTTCTCACTATCTAGCCTTGTAAAATTAGCAATGTTGCAACTTCCTGTAATATAAACGTATAACTAAACATACTTTCTTTGTTTTGGCTATGGAATAACATCTTGATTTGGTTGCCTGCCTTTAGGTTAAAAAAGAAGTTGGTGATGTTAGTATCCTAATCAACAATGCTGGTGTTGTAACTGGAAAGAAGTTCATTGATTCCCCAGATTCACTTGTGGAGAAAACCATGGAGGTGAACACCATGGCACACTTCTGGGTAATATACAGATATTCTTTTTTTATAGGGAACTGTGAAAGAATATTGGCACTTAAGTCTGTTTTGGAAATGAGGGGGGAAATCTCTTATATAATTGCTGTCTAACTGGTTGATCTTGTAAGGCCCTACACGCAACTCAATGACATTTGTTTGTGAGTTCCAGAAACAGAGGGGATGGGGAGGTGGCCCACAGAAAGCTTGTGGGAGAGAGTTAAGGGATGTGTTTAGCCCCTTGTGTGGGCAATCACTTCTGCCAAAAGAAGCAATAAAATGTGAGATTCTCCCCCCCCCCCCCCCCCCGTACTGGTTGCCTGATATTAAGAGATACTTCTGGGAAATGTAAAGCTGAAAAGTACTGTTATTGTGGGCAGTCTGGAGCTATAGACTTTGATATGAACTGACTCAGAGCAGGGCTGCCATAAACTGGCTACTTCATCACCCATTAGCAGAAAAGAGCCTGGTTCAGGTGCTGCCATGGTTTGGGTCAGAACTTGTTCTGATTGCATCCCATCACCTGTTTGCTGCTGGGAACTTGCACTATTAGAGTGGTTCCTCTAAAGCACTCTTACTTGGTGTCTTAAATGTCAGACTGACATATGATGGCATGATTGATTTGAAGACTTTTATCTTAAATTAGTCATTTAATTTGCATTTCGCTATGAAGGAGATGAATGGATATTGTAATAAAGCACTGAAGGTGAATTATAATCTAATAAAGAGGGAATGGTGAATTAAAATATGCTGCTCTGTTTCTGTTTGCTGGAAAATGTGGAAATGACACAGAATGGGTAGCTGAAATCAGCAAGTGATGGCAGAAAGATTAGGAGTTCACTTTTCCCTTCTCAGCTGCTATTTTTAAGATGGAAGCCTACTTGGAAAATGTTGCAGTACTGAGCTCCTAAGTGTAGGGAATTTACAGCTTCCCAGGACTTCAGTGATTGCAATCTCTCTGGCAGCAATCTAGTTTCGGACTCCCCCTAGTGGATGACTACAACATCAAGAAAACTATGGAAACGTATTGGAGAGTCCTTAGAGAGCCACCTCAGCAGATTCAGTTAGTAGACAAAGTGGAAATACTTCCTGTCCTAACTAATATGTATCTTATTAGCCTCTGTAGAATGAGGGAGAAGCATTAAGACTTAATAGGTCTCCTTAATAGGTGGCACCTTTTCAATAGTAATGCTCTAACTAATTGCACAATTAAATCACTTTAAGTAATGTTTAACTATAAGTGTGGGTTTCAATGTGTTTCATAGACTTGCAAAGCCTTCCTTCCAGCCATGATGGCCTCTAACCATGGACACTTGGTTAGTATTGCAAGCTCAGCAGGACTGATTGGAGTCAATGGGCTAGCAGGTTAGTGTATTCGAGATCATTCTAAATGGAATCTAAAGGTATGGTCTTGGTTATACTCTTCAACTACAGCTCTTAGGCCAAGCCATCTAAATAAAATGGTCTGACACCTGTACACTTATTGGCTCTCACTGACCTCAATGGGACCTAGGTTCTCAGCACCATTAAAAATTCTTTTCACCTTTTATTAAAGGACCGGGTGGGAGATGGGGAGAGAAAGGAGAGAACATTTGAAATATAAAGTGTTAAGTAAGGATTTTATTATAACATCTTGTGGCTTTTTACCTTTAGCTGGAGAGTTTGTACAAGGAATTTCCACCCCTTCATCCTCTCCCCTCATTTGAGATTTTAGATGGTATTAAAGATGATAATAACTACCCTTCTGGGGGGAAGGAGACGCTAATTGAAATGGACTAGGGTTGGAGCTGCTGCTGTTACTAAGTCTGATCCTCTTGTTTAGAAGATGAAGCTGGACACACAATGGGAGAGAAGAACAGCAAAGATAGAAAATGAAGCTTCTGTGCCTTTGGTGTTGACTCTTACTTGCAGCATTACTGCTGGAAAAACACAGGCATGGCACATCGTCTTACTAGCCACGCTGAGACCTGGCAAACTTGTACCAGCATCTGGCCGTTTAGGACATTTGGTTTTAGCTGCCTTTCTGATAACAGGCTTACAGCAGTGTTGCAAAACATGTAGGCATGGCTGGCTTAGCCACTGTTAGCCGCAGAAGGTGAAAGAAAAGAAATATTGTGAGGAAGGAAAAAGACACATGATGGGGGCGGGAGGAGTCTCACATACTAGGTGATGGTTGGGGTTTACCCAGAGCCAGTGGAGGCGATAAAGTCATCTGAATCCCTCTCTCTGGCCTAGTCTAGTCAGGAAGGGCTGTCTCAGGATTAGAACGACAAAGGCCCAGTGGTGTCACGGAGGATTCTTTGTCCTAGGAGACAGTCGAGGTGGCAGCTATGATGGTAAAGTTTGTCCCTTTCCTATCTTCCTGTCTGTCAGATGGCTTTTGATTGGTGGTGGGGAGTCTTTTCTTTTAAGGACCCCAAAAGGGAGCAATGGCAGAGTAGCCCATCCCCTTCATTATTTTGTTCACCAAGTAGGCCTAATTTTTGACACACCAATTTGGGTTCATTAATTTCTGGTCCCACACTTTTTTTGTTGACCAAGCATAATCTTAACACTGTCCTTGAATTATATCATTCAGCCTTTTTGTATGAACTAACTTAGTCTTTCTGTCTCCCTTTCATACCTATTCACATCAGCATTTGTTATAGGTTATTGTGACAATTCATAAACTTACACTCACTTTTTGCAGTTGAGCTCACAATTAAGATAAATTTGTAGGCACAATTATTTTAACAGTATGCGAACTACTCTTGTTAGAGCATAATTTTGCCAGACTGTCTTCTCAGCCAGAAGCTGTGCTTGGTTTACTCAGCATGAGACACTGGACTAAAACCATGTAGTTAGGTTGTTTACGAGAGTTGAGAGATTTTTCTCTTAATAAAATAATTAGCTGCAATAAATAACTCTTCATCTTTCTTCACTCTACAGATTATTGTGCAAGTAAATTTGCAGCAGTGGGCTTTGCAGAAGCAGTTGGTTTAGAAATGCTGGCTCTAGGGAAAACCGGCATTAAAACCACTATTGTGTGTCCTTACTTCATCAACACAGGAATGTTTGATGGTTGTAAAACCAAGTGAGTGAATTTTGGGGTTTTGTGTGTAATTAGGATATGGCAGGTCAAAAATGTTTGATTAAATACATGATTTATGAAAGGAAATTAGTAATCAGTAGAAATGGCATAATCTGAAACTATTATAAGGTAGGTTTTTTTCCATTGTGCCATTTTTAGGGCTCATAGCCAAAGCCCAATGATTGCCAGACTGCAGAATCTAAGACTTTTAAATTCCATTTCTAGCCCCTATGGCGAGAATATGACTCTTCCAAATATCAACCTAGTGTAATCCAATGAAGTGTCTCTTCCTGATTCTGCAAATAGCCTGAAACAGTAACTGAAAAAAAATGTAAACTGACACTCAAATTATTAACTCTACAACCTAGTGATGGTGTCACTTTAATTGTCAACACATTTAACTACTTCGCGGCTCATTTGAGAGGACACAGACTGTGTGTTTCTTTTCTTACAATCTCATACCTTCTCCCTAGATGCCAAAAGCTTCAACTGTCTCCTATTTGGCTGCCAAATCTCACACCTTCAGTAGTGTAGCTTGTCATTGTCAGTACAACCTTTCATGGCATGTTAAACACAGAAAACGTAGAAGCAGAATAGGCTTATCTAAATAAAAACTTTGCTTGATTTGAAGATAGCAAGAATTGAGCTTACAGGCACCAATACCAAGTGAAAACAAGACAGTGGCTGTTCACCACTTTCAAACTGATTTGTCAGGTGTTATACAATTCCATGAACAGAACTTAATTTTGTAATGTTTGCTTCTAAGTTAGAGGCGAAATCTTTGTAAAATGGGGTATTCTTCTTTTGTAAGGAGCACAACTTTAAATTTGAAGCTGTCTTGTTCTAAATTTGAAGTTATCCAGATGAAACATAGAGGGGAAAGTTTTGACAATGTCATATTAATAGCGATATGTTGACTTTTTCCAGGTGGCCATGTCTACTTCCTATTCTAGATTCGAACTATGCAGCTGAGAAAATTGTGAGTGCTATTCAACGGGAGCAAGTGCTTCTGCTGATGCCACGAAGCCTGTACTTTTTATGTTTTCTGAAAAGGTAAGGATGGGATTCTCCTTGTCATGTTTGTGTCTTTCTTCTGTCAAATGCGTTATGTTTAGTTGCATGATTACGGACTCTACATGCTACAATATCAAATGATTACTTGGGCTGTCAAGTCTAAGCCTACTTAGATATTTACCTTCATGGGTTTCAAGTTGCTTTTAAGTTTTAGATAAGTTGTTGCTACAGGAAGGCTTCCTCAGGTGGTGGTCTTGGATAACTTGCATGTCTACATGTCTTATACCAGACTCTGAAGAGTCCCAGTAAGGAACACTTTCTCATTGCTGTACATATTTAAATAATCTCTAAAGGGAAACTGTTGTTAGTGTTGACTGAGCAAAGCTGCAACAGAGTTTTCTTCTTGGCTGTGTAGAGGGCTGCCCTTGTAATACTATTGAGCACTTATGCAGGTCAGTAGGAGTTGCCAGATGCTCAACATTCTTGAAAATCTGGCCACTGAGTTAGGTGGCCAAATATAGATTTAGGCTCCTATTTTATTTTATTTTTTAAAATCTTGGCCCATAGTTTGATTCTAAATCTCTCTACTTAAGCCAAAGGGAGCCAAGAGTACTGCTACAGTGGATGCGTTAAAGCAATGCAGGCACAAATGGGGACACAGAACAACCTGTGTAACAGCACAGAGACTAGAATCAGTCAACAAAGATGGCTGTAGCACATAACTTCTAATATTAGGGATAGCAGGCGGGTGGGGAGGAGCCACTTGAATCTCAGAAGGATTTGTGAAGGACCTTGAAAAGAAAGGGACTACTGTATCAGAAACAAACTGGTTCTGGAAATATTATCATCTTCCTTGCTTCAGATAACACAATTTGCTGCAATTTAATAGGCATGTATATTGCTGTGTATTAGAGCTATCATACTAGCATCTAGAAGCCCCAGTGAGGATCAGTGCTGCATTTCATAAACACACAAAAATGCTGCTTCTGCCCTGAAGTGCTTGCACACCCTGGGTATGTTGAGGGCCAAAGGTAGTGTGTGCTGTTTTGAATGCTGAGCATACCAATAATGTATGCTCTGTTGTGGCTTATTTCTATTGGAGCTTATTAACTTTACTGGACACTTGATGCAATATTATCCCACTGCTTAAAAAAAAAAAAAAAAAAACTAGGATAAAACAGAGAAGGCTATGAAGACCTTTTTCCTTAGTGCTTTCAAAATATATTTGTTGTTTAGGCGTTTTTTTTACGTTCCTGGACTATTTGAAGGCTGGTCGCACTCCCAGCAGCAGTTAGTGGTCCAACGCCTATTTTAAAATCAATGTTTCTATTTTTATTTTTTTTAAATGTAACCATTCCCAATTTGGTTTTGACAGTAGAAAGTGAATCTGTAAGTAGCAGGAAGTGCATAAACAGCTGCTGAAAAGATAGCTTCAGAGGCGGGAGAAGGGCAGCTTAAATTTTTTTCCCTCCTAACTTCGCTTCTCTAGCCTCCTCCCCCGATATCCCTCTTCATTTGCCCTTGTCTTTCTAATAGACATCTATTCATAGTCCCATCCTAAACACTCTAGAGACACTGATCATCTAGGTGAGCATGCATGGGACACTTTTAGGGAGGAGTGAAAAAACTGTTTCAACAAAAATCCTGTACTTCAATTACAAATATATAATTTTTATAGCTTCTACCACCACTTGAGTGAGTTAGGTATCGCTACAAAACTGCAAGTCCTGTTGTACAAATGGGTTATGCTAATATGAAGAAGTTTGGCTTCTGAGGTCTTGAGTACAAAAATAATTATTCCTAAGACTGACAGTTTTCAAAATATATTGAGAAATTGGGCCCACTCAGATTGGGGAACGTCTTTCATTTCAATTTCTTTATGTACATTATCATGTGGACAGTGAGGCAGTATGTTCTAAAGGAATGTGCCCATTTAGTGACTGGGTTCCTGAGTTCTAATCCTGGCTCTGATATTGGGGAATCGCTGCCTCAGTTTCTCACTGTACACTGGGAATACTTGCTACCCCATAAATACATTCTGAAGACTGTTAATACTGTACTTTAGAAGCTGTAACACTTTGTATTCTTGGGCTTAGCCACATGGATCACTTCTGTGATTTATAAGACTATGTAAATACTCTGGTGTGTGTTTTCCTTCAGTATTTTACCTGTGAAAATGGGAATACTCCTTGGAGACTACGCTGGGGCCTTCCACTTCATGGACCACTTCAGAGGTCGAGTGAAGAAGGACTGAAAATAAAGAATGAAAATATCCAATACTAGCAGTTCTAAATTAATGGACCAGTTTAGAGTTTAAAAAATGGCCTGGTGTTTCAGCTGCACAGAACTTGCCTTCTGTATAACTGTGCCTCATGCTTTTGTTAATTAACAGTTTTAATCAACAGTTTCCAACAAGAGCTGTCTCTCCTTCATTCCCTGAATAGCTATCCTCGATGTGATGCCTGTCATAATCTCTTATCCTTATTGAATGAGTATAGGTATCCATTTCACAAAGTAATCACAATTGGCACCTATGTGGGTATTCTCAATTAAGAAACAGGGTGTAATGGGCTGGGAAGCTAAATTGACTTTGCATGCTTTCAAGATAGTCCCCTCCAGAACAATATTGCTGTGAGGGCTGTCTGAGAAAGCTTATCTTTGTCATTGCCTTTACTGTTCAGTTGATGATTGGAAGTATTTAACTTTCAATTTCCTGAGCTGTTCGGCATCTTTTACGAGCACTAAAATTCACATTCATAAAATTAAGTAAAATGGCAGTTGTACACACTGAAAATATTTTCCGTACCTGTGATGTTGATTCACTAATCAAATACATCTGTAGGGTAATAATCAATTTACTATTAACATCTGTGGAAAAGATTCCAATAGCCAATGATTATAGATGTATCCCTTCCAGAGATGGGCCGATAACAATTGAACATGCTTGTCTGATTACAAATGTTAACTTCTAAATAAATGCCCATATTTTTAGTAGGACTGAGTCATTTATCAAATATAAAAAAGTAAAAATATAAAGTTATGTCTAAAATATTGTAACTCTTAACGCTGTCTTGAAACAAGAGATACAGAGACGCACTGAATAAGAGTGGCAGTGAAAGAGCCTTCAGAAATCCTTTCAGGTGAGATGACTGGCAACTAAAAGCAAACCACTGGCAATAAATAGTTTAACATGAGTTTCTTTGTTAGAAATTCTTACAGAGCGTGGTGGTGGAGGAAGTTAAATTGGATGGAATCATTCTACACCTGTAAAAATCAACAAGGACAAACTATCAACCATGCAATAATTTAAAAGTTTAAATAACTTATTATTTGCTCCTCTGAATCGGCTTTGCATCATTTATACTAATCTCATTCATTGTAGTAGCTCTGCCACTCCTCATTTCTTTCTTACGCTACCTCTGTGCTGCACACCTAAGTTTCCCCTAAGTTGCACAGCAAGGTATCAAGGGCCGCGCAGGCAGGGAGAGGCACCCCTCCCCTCCTCCGGCCCGGCCCTGCTAGAGCTGCCGCGACTGGGGAGAGGTACCTCTCCCCCAGGTCCAGGTTGCTGCGGTGAGAGAGGGCTGGGGGGAGTGCTCTCTCCCCACCGCAGCCCTGGGGCAGCCTATACCATAAACCCCTCATCCCCAGCCCCACCCCATAGCCTGCATCATCCCTAGCCAGAGCCCTCATCCCCCTGCACCCCAACCCTCTGCCCCAGCCCTGAGCCCCCTCCTGCACCCCAAATCCCTCATCCCGGCCCCACCCCATAGCCTGCATCATCCCCAGCCAGAGCCCTCACCCCCCCCATCCCAACCGTCTGCCCCAGCCCTGAGCCCCCTCCCACACTCCAAACCCCTCGGCCCCACCCCCACCACACATCACCTCCATATTGGTGCACATAACAAAATTCATTCCACACATAGCTGTAAAAAATTAGAGGCAACACTGCTGTACACCTCTTGCGACAGCATGTAAGGTAGTTGTAGCTACATGCAATGATGAAAAACAGGCTGTGTCCACACTGGTATGTAGCTACATATATCAGTAAAAGGCCCTGCTGGGGGTGGTAGTGGGGAGCACTATATTTCTTTGCTGCCTCTCAGCTGCTGGAGCCTTTGCCCACGGTGGGGAAAGACTCCCAACAGCAGGACACTACACTGCTAAAAATAGCAGTGTAGATGGGAAGGTTCTCCTTAGAGGAGTAGGAAGACCTGCAGGGTACATACCCAGAGTTCAGGAGTGTCTTTACTTGCCTAAGCTGTGCCTCATCATGTACACTGCTATTTATACCTGTGCTGGGCGTGGGGTGCCAAAGAGTGTGCAGTGTAGACATACCAAAGTTTAGATAATTAAGAAACCATGTATTTAAAACTTAGGAAGGAAGGATGGTCTGTCCTCAGTGTTTTGCAATGGCCTTCTAGTTATGAAACCAAAAGCCTCTTCTGTAAATGTGACCCTTCTGAAGGGGTAGACCACCAGCTGCAGAGCTTAAACTTGTTCCCACTGGTAGTAAACTTTAAACATACCAGAGAAACACAAATCTGAGTCACATTTCACCTTAAACAAGAACTGGCTTATAGGAAAAAAACTGTTGCCAAAAGCTACCTTGGATGCCCTAGTGGTCAGACTTCATATTTTTGCCAGATAAGGGTTATCCCAGAGATGAAGTGCACCATTTGACCAGAAACTTTAATCAAGTTCTAAATTTCACTTGAGCATCAATGCTTGTTTGTTTGTTTTTGCAGCAAAAAGGTGTTTGCTTATATATTCATACAAAAAGGTGTATGCTTATATGGATAGTTAGCCAATGCTACATAATCATACCTCAGATGATTTACAGTTTTACTCAAAGAGTGAAAGCCAGGTGGGTTGTGTGATGTGCTCTCCTTCAAAGTATCCTGTGGGAAATGTTTATCACTTCACAGTTATGGCATCTAAATCTTCAGTAGAAGAGTGAGTGGGGAGCTAATAGTTTAAATTAACTATCCAAAACCAAAAAAGTTATTAATTAAGTCTATTTTCACAAAATACATAGTAAAAACAAAGAATGCAACATACGTGATTTAACTTCTAATTGTACAAAACTTGCAGATTTAGAATTAAAGGCTTTGGCAGGTCTAATCTAGGCTACAGAAATAAGTCAATGAAAGTCACCTTGCATCTACCAATTTGTGTGTGTGTCTACACTGAAATTTGTCTCCCAGCAATCTAAGTATCCCATTATGGCAACACAGTAACACCACCTCCCCAAACAATGTTGAGCTATAGTTGACATACTGTGGTAGACACAGGCTGAGTGTAGACACTGTGTAACCTCTGGCAACCCTAAGGGTCCTCAAGTAGCAGTCCCACAGTGCCTGACAGTGACCGGTTAGGTCACAATGGTGAACTACACTGCCCAGGGGTCACGGAGACTGGAAGCCACCCCTTTCCTGAGTGCCCAGTTCGGTGAGCACACCTAGCCACTCTCCCTTGTGGTGTGCACCTGTTCAACTGCTCTAGACGTGCTCCTGCCTGGAGTAGCCAGGAGGTATTGGATCTCCTGGGCCTATGAGGAGAAGAGGCTGTGCAGGCACAGCTACAGCCCAGTCATAGAAATGTGGACATCTATGAAGAGATTGCCGGGGGGAGGCAGGCAAAGGGGTACACCAGGGATCAGTACCAGTGCTGCGTGAAAGCGAAGGAGCTGTGGCAGGCATAACACATGGCCAGAGGGGCCAACAGTCAGTCTGGTGCCCAGCCGCAGATCTGCTTTTACAATGAGCTGCAAGCCGTATGTGGCCACGATCCCACCAGCATCCTGCAGACCACTATGCATACCTAAGAGGAACCCAAGACACAGACTTCTGCCCTGAACAGCAAGGAGGAGGGACATGAGAAGGGGGAGGAGGGAGGCGGTCCAGCTAATTCTGTGAGCCAGGATTTTTTGAGCCTCCACCAGAGTCTAGCCAGTCCAGCCAAGCATGGATAAGCTCAATCCAGAGGAGCAAACCTTGGGTAAGCGTGTGCATGAAGTCTCCCTTACAATGTTTAAATGTAGAAATGGTTCCTGGCCCAATGCCAAGTTAGCAGGGACACCGGTATCTACTTTTCATTGTTTTACTCATACAAACAACTCTACCCCATCTGTTTTTCATTCCCCTGTGGGATTAGGTTGTGGGACCATGCGGAGCAATTTGTTTATGCATGTAGGGATGTCCCTTATATCCTCCTGAGTGAGCTTGATAAAACTTTCATGGAGATACCCTGCAGTACTCTCCTGAAGGTTTCTAGGGATGGCTGGCTTATTTCTTCCTCTGGTGGAACGCTGTCTGATGCCACTCTGCAATGACTGCAGCAGGCACCATTGCAGTAAACACGTCAGTGGCATACAGACTGGGCACCTGTGTGCTCTGTGCCTTTGTGACCCTCAGAAGTGAGATATCCACTAAAATCACCAGTGCCTGTGGAAAATAGTGCCACTGCTCAGTGCCGTTGCCTATACTCATGCCCATGGAAACTAGAGGCCTAAATTTTGTTTTAATCAAACAATTTCCTCCTCATTTCCCCAGCCCTCACCTGTGGCAGAGCATACTCACCATGCCTGTGGCTGGAGAGCAGGGCTGTGCAGAGCCTGTCTTGTTTAAATGCTCTCCGTTGTGACTGTAAATACGATGATACATCCGTGTTTTATCTGTAGCTGCTGCCATTGCAGCTTTGAGGGGTGCCCCCTCCGCACCCATGGAATGCCTGACCCTTAGGAGGAGAAGGAGAAAAGCGGACTAGGGAAGACGTGTTCACCAAGATCCTGCAAGCCAGTGTTGCGTCCGATTGTGAATAGAGGGCCTGGAGAGTGAATATAGCAGACGGCCTGGAGAAGGAAAGCACGGAGAGGAGAAAGGCCCAGGAGTCCCAGCGGGAAAAGCAGAGGGAGATGCACCAGGACATAATGGGGCTTCTCAGGCAGCAAATACAAATGCTGCAGGCTCTTGGTGACCTACAGGTCCAACGGTCATGTGCTTGCCTCCCTTTACAATCAATGGAGAACTCCATTTCACCCCCCACGCACACATTCCACATGGCATCATAAGCCACATCCCACCCAGGCCACCCTGGGGGATAGCAAAGAAAACCACAGCTTCACATACACTGACCTGTGAGAGCCATGGTTGCTGTATGTTTGGCAGAAAGGGATTGAAATGGCATGATTCTCCCATTTTATTTTTAAGGTTCTGTCCTGTAACTTTTTAAGTTTGGACTGTATTGTTTATTTTTAATTGCACGTGATTATTTTGCACTGGTTTTGGTATGCAATAAGTTGTTGTTTGGAAATAAATTCATCTTTATTGCTTGATAACATATAGTGCAGAATACCTAGCGCTCCTCAAAGCACACATTACTTGTAATACAGGGATTGGCAACCTTTGGCATGCGGATCGCCAGGGTAAGCCCCCTGGCGGGCCAGGCCAGTTTGTTTACCTGCTGCGTCCACAGGTTCGGCCGATCGCGGCTCCCACTGGCTGCGGTTCGCCGCTCCAGGCCAATGGGGGCTGCAGGAAGCGGTGGCCAGCACCAAAGGTGGCTGATCCCTGTTGTAATATAACAAGACCACAGTGTCTCGGTTCAAGGCAAGTTCAGCTGTATTTCATGATAACAGTGCAGGGCTGTGCAGGCTCCATGCGTCTGTCAGAAATGGCAGACAGCGAAAGGTGCTGCATAGATTTATGGCATTTTTTTTTAAAGTGTGAAAATTATGGGTTAAGAATGGTATTATGGGACAGAGAAAGTTTTATGTTGGGAACTTGGCCCTTTGCTCCTAGATCCTCCCTCCTCCTCCTCCCCCCTCCCTCCCCCCCACATGACTTGTGTGTCCTCCAAAATGCAGTGCGAAAATTCCCCAAAAGGCATTGCGCCAGAGGGTGGCATATGGCACACTGGGATACCTACCCATCATGCAACCACACTTTGGGTCGACACAAGCAATCCTAGTGAGTATCTGTGATAACTGA